GTACCTTGAGGCAGCCATGGGGGTGGCCAGCAGCCCCCTCCCACGCTGCTTTTGGGGCCACTTCTGCCTCGAGCTGTGCAGCAGCCCCAGGGGTGCCAGAGGTGCAGCCTGGGCACCGGCTTCAGACCCTTTCCCCAAACCCTCCCGGCTGCAGCATGAGCCCAGGACGTGCCACACCTCCTGCCAGCGGCTCCGCAACACTCGCCCCGACTGCAGCGTTATGCTAAGCCCACCCAAGTGTCGTTGCCCCCCTCCCCATTTCAAGGTAGCGCTCAGATCCAGGACACAGGAGGGCCGGGCTGAGCTCAGCGCAGCCGCCACTCACGGGGAAGACGTCGGGATCGTCGTTGCACATCTGCAAGAATCGCTCCGGGCGGGCGGAGGAGTGCTCGGGGCCCTGCGGGGACCAAGCAGGGGGGACGAGTGAGGGCGGCAAGGCTGGCATGAGAAGCCAATGCCGGGCACTGCCGTGCTCCTAGCAGTGCTACCTGCTGCCGTTTCCCTCGGCTCTGCTTCTGGTGCAGGCCAGGCAATGGGCAGCCCTGGGTGCCAGAGAGCTGGGGGGGGTCCTTACCATGCCCTCCATGCCATGAGGAAGCAGCAGGACAATGCCGTTCTGCCGGACCCACTTGGCCTGCCCAGGACAGATGAACTGGTCGATTATGCACTGAGCAGTGTTGTGGAAATCCCCAAACTGGGCTTCCCAAAGAACCAGGGCGTTGGGGCTTGCCATGGCAAAGCCCAACTCGAATCCTGAGGGATGTGAAAGCGAGGGGTTATCCTCCCAGAGCAGCCTCACACCCCTGGGCGATGGGCACAGACCTCCTCACTCACCGAGGACACCGTACTCTGACAGAGAGCTGTTGCAGACGGTGTAAGGAGCCTGGTTGGGCCAGAGGTGGTTCATGGGGATACAGGTCCTCTTGTCCACGTTCTGATCATGCAGGACATGGTGGCGATGGCTGGAAGAGGGGAAAGTGTTTTACTCCCTTCAGATCCCTTCCAGAAAGGCTGGAGTCGCCTTTACGGCCACCAAAAGCACGACTTTACCTGAACGTCCCCCTCTCTACGTCCTGGCCGCTCAGGCGGATGTGGATGCCCTCTTTGAGCAGGGAGCCAAATGCCATGTACTCTGCCAGAGCCCAGTCCACCGTCCGGTTCTTCACCATCTCCCCACGGGTTTTCAAAATACGGCTTAAACCTGCCGGGACAGAAGCCAGTGCATAGATGGCGCCGGAGGGACCTTCAGCGACACCATGTTTGTCCCACAACCTGCCCACGGACTGACAGACTGCAAATGCCTGTGGGCAGAGGGACAGGTCCACTGCTGGAGGGATGAACTAGGGACAAAGAATTGGGACAGCAGAGAAGGATCAGCTCCAAAGAAGAGCTGCTCCTTGGTTCACTTCTGTTAACCACAGCTCCCTCCTGAACTAGTTCTCGTAGATCACAGAAGGGTTTGGGTTGGAAGGGACTTCCAGAGGTCACCTAGTCCACCCTCCCTGCCATGGGCACAGACACCTTTCACTAGACCAGGTTGCTCAAAGCCCCGTCCAACCTGGCCTTGAACACTTCCAATGATGGGGCATCCACAGCTTCTCTGGGCAACCTGTTCCAGTGTCTCACCACCCTCAACGTAAAACATTTCTTCCTTATGCCTGATTTAAACTGAAAGAGGGTAGCTTTAGAACCCTCACACCTTTTCCTGCCACTGCAGGCACTCCCTCTGCTTTCTCATCAGCCCTCTTTAAGCACTGGAAGGCCACTGTAACGTCTCCCAGGAGCCTTCTCTTCTCCAGACTGAACATCCCTGATTCTCTCAGCCTTCCTGCACCTCAGGAGAAGTGTTCCAGCCCCGGAATCATTTTCATGGCCTCCGCTGGACCCGCTCCAAACAGGTCCATGTCCGTCTTATGCTGGGGACCCCAGAGCTGGATGCAGTGCTCTGGGTGGGGTGTCTGGAGCAGAGGGGGAGAACCCCTCCCCTCGACCTGCTGGCCACACATATCGAAGCCCTGTAACAGGTCCCTTCCTTCCAGGCCACATTCCAGCTCTATCCCACATCTTCTCTGGAACAAATGCCCATTCTGGCAAAGTGTCTGCAAGCTCCTACCTCCATGGATAGTGAAATCCTCCACCGGCACTGAGCTGGCCACTTGACCAATGTGTGTCAAGTCGTCTTCGTTCAGACCGGTGGAAGGGCAGGTCATGCTCCGGGGCTGGCCATCCAGAGTGAAGAAACCTGCAGGAGGAGGAGCAGTCCACCATGTTGTGGGAGCCATGCCCAGCTCCGTGTGAAGAACTCAGGTCAAGGACACCCTCCAGCAAGGGTGGGGATGCAGGAGCGGAGAGCATCACCCCACCTCCCTACCAGGGTGATTTACTAGAAAATACCTGCCACAGCTCTAGAGAAGCCAGGCTCTTTGCTAGGGACCTCCAGAACGTTGCTAGCGACTTACCAGGCCAGGGTGAGTCCAGCCAGTGCTTGATGTGCAAGATCTTTTCATCCTTGGATCTCGCATGGGCCTCCTCACAGATCTTGTCATACTTGGCAATTTCCTCCTGAAAGGCAGCACCAGGAGGCAGAAGAGCATTACCGAGGGGTCCCCAAACAAGGGTGCTGAGCCTGGGGGCCTCGGCATGAGCTTGCAAGGGTGCTGGAGGGCACAGCTGGTCCCCGCAGACGTGCAGCTCAGACTTAGGGAGCAGAGCTGCTGCTGGAGGCCCCCGTCCCCCAAGGGCCAGCTCTGCTGCTCTCCTTACCAAGAACTCGCATTCGGCCCTAAAGACGCTGCAGAGTGGCACTGGAGCGAGGAAAAGCCGGCAGAGCTGCTGCCACACTCACTGCCAGGGCGGCAGAGCAGGGGCAGGGGACCTGCCCCAGATAGCCCCAGGCCACAGCGAGCCCGAGTGCTGCAGAGCTCAACTCTCCCGTGGGTCCCAGCTGCGCTGCAGCAGCCCAGCACCGTACGGCCTGTGCTGCACTGATCACGGGGCAATCCTGTTCCTGAGCTGTTCCGAGCTGGCACAGTTCAAGGACGAGCCTCAGCTTCTAACCCCCTCGCTGCCCGGTCTGCAGCGCTTGCCCAAGCCCAGCACAGCTCTGCCACCTTTAGGTGACAAGCACCAGCAGAAACGGGCCGTCACATCGTTCACAGCCAGGTCTGAACCAACAAAGTAGTTCTGCCTGGAGCCGCCACCCGCAGTTTTCCTCCCAGGCCCCAAGGGACAGTACCTCATACTCCAGCTGATTTACCACCCCCTGGGAAATCAGCAGCTCTGCGTATTTCTGCAGCACCGGCTTCTGTTTCCGGATCTGTTTGTACATCAGGGGTTGTGTGAACATGGGTTCATCCATCTCGTTGTGCCCGTTGCGCCTGTAGCAAACCTGCCAGGTAAAGATCCTTTGAAAGCAGCTGCTTGCAACCTGCGGCTCCAAAAGTGGTCGGAGGCACCTGGGTCTCTGTGCTAGGAAGGGTCCGAAACAGCTCAGGAAGACCCATGCTGTCCTCCCCAATGCTGGAGGTGAGGGCAGGCTCCATACAGAGACAGTGTCGCTCCTGCAAGCACTATTACAGCCTCATTGCCTTGCTTCACACCACCTCCTCCCTCCCCTCATGCCCAAAGGGACAGACAAGCCCTGAAGGGAAACTTCAGCTTTCAGAAAATACACCCTGAGAGGTATCAGCGAGCACCCGCAGCAGAGCCACAGCTTTAGGATAAAGCCTCGTGCCACATTTCTCACCAAATCCACCACCACGTCCTTATGGAAAGTGCTCCGCCACTCCGCTGCCACGTTGCACACGTAGACGACGGCCTCCGGGTCGTCCGCGTTGACATGGAAAATGGGCGCGTTCACCACGCGGGCGACATCGGTCGGGTACGGGGAGGAGCGGGCCATGCGGGGGTCTGTCGTGAAGCCGATCTGCAGCAGGTGAGAGAGAAGGGGACCAGCACAGGGGTAAGGATTTGGAAAGCGGCGCACACAGCTCCAGGGACAGCTTGGCTGCGGTGGCTGAGCTGGGGGCTCCCCCACGGCTGCGCCGCTCAGCACAACCCGCCCATCTCCTGCACCCCAGGCACCGCAGCCCAAACCCATCCCTAACCCCTGGGAACGGGCTGGTCCCAGCGAAAGGTCTCTGGCTTATGCAGGGGCAGAACGGAGCAGCCCTGCGTGATCTCGTGCGTCGAGCACCAGGTTGCACCACCGGCACGCCAGGCTGGACTCCAAAGCTGGTGCTGTTGAGCGGCTGGGTATAAAGTACCCCCTGCTGACCCCAGGGCGATGGCTCACGCCAGGAACACTGGCTGGGAAACAGCTACTGCCCGCTGCCAGCTACCACCCAGCCCTGGGCCTGCGGAGGCTCGTCTGCGAGGGACCCCACGGACGCAGGGGATTTGCTCCTCACCTGGTTGTTCACCACGACGTGGACAGTGCCGTGGGTGGTGTAGGAGGGCAGGTCGCTCAAGTGGAACGTCTCATACACGATGCCCTGCCCAGCAAAAGCGGCATCTCCGTGCAGGAGGATGGACATCACCTGGGAGACATGAAGGTGGTCGTCAGGGGCTCTGCGGGGATGGTGGGCCACCAGGAAAGGGCCCAAGTCTCATCCCCCTGAGCCTTCAGCATCCCAGAAAGGACATAGAGCAGCTCATCCACGCACCCAGTGCTTTCTCAGGGGACTGGCGTGGAACCAGCCATGGCTGGCGCAACCACCAGGGAGAAGGCTGTGGCCACCAATTCTCTCCCCAAGCAAGGGCGTCACTCAGTATGCCTCGATCGGGCAGCGGGACGGCACCCGCTGGCTGCGAGTCCCATTCCCAAACACGCACATCTCAAAGCAAAGCCTTTTTCTAACTGAGGGAAGACAAGAAAAATGCCCCTTTCCCCCACACTTTCACCCCAGAAGACCTTTGGGCACGAGCTGGGCCGGCAGCTCACTCCAGCTTGGGTGATGTTATTTTGCTGCTGTACCCAGGGGCTGGCTGAGGACGCCGCCTGTCAGACGAGGACAAAGTTTTGTCTATTTATAACCAGCCCTTGGGGTGTAGGAGGAAGGGAAGCACTTTTGATCTCACCCTTCCACTTCTTGGCGTTGGAGACAGGTCTGCGATGAATCAGACCACAAACAAACTCCCCCACCTCCCACAGCCCATTCCCTGCCTGCTCTCCCACCCGGGTGCAGAGAGCTGCCTCCAGCTTTCCCAGTAATGGTTTACCCCAGGAATGGTTATCCCTGGTCATGTTGAGATCTTTCAGCTTGATGCTGCTCCTGCTGAGCCTCCAAGAGCTGTGATGCTCAGGGTTGGCTTTCAGGAGTGCCCCTCATCTCCCTGTTTTCCAGCAGCGGGTTTGGGCGTATGCTGCTCCCCGCAGCCCGTTTGAGCTGGTCATTCTGAGATGGAGGAAGCGGCAACGGGAGCCCGGAGTGGGCAAGCCCCTACCAAAGTTATCCCAGCGGGGAAGGACATGGGAGCAAAGTCAGGGTGACAGCAGGGGAAGGGGCACAGCAAACAAAAACCAGCTGGGTTTCTTCGCTTTCCCCCCAGCCTGCCTCCCACCAAACTCTGCCCAGCCCAGCCCACTCCCCTGCAGGCGTCTCAGCACCACTCACCTTCTTCCCTTCCGTGTCCCCACAGTAAAACTGCTCTGCTTTAGTCTTGCCTTGAACAACAGGATCAGCTGCCTCCAAGTGAGAAGGATTTGCCACCAAAGAAAGGGTGATGTTCCTGTCAGTGACACGGTTAATCCGCCGGTGGTACATTCCCAGGTGGTACTTCACATCACCGGAGCCCTGACAGAGGGGAGAGGACAGTCACCCCCAGGCAAGTGAGCGGCTTTTGGGGCACGGAAGGAGACCTGAGGCAGGGCAGTGCTGACCCCAAGGGCTGGAAAAAGGGTGCATTTTCTGGAGGCACTGGCAGAAAGCAGCAGGCACTCACTTTAGGAGCTGACCGGGCACCCAGCAAAGCAAAGTGGCCTGTTCCAGGTGACAAACTGCCAACAAACCTCAGACAAGCATCAAGCCTTTCTCGGTTGAGGCAAAGAAACAAATGTGGTGGGTTTGGGGAAGACACTGGAGAAGAGACAACGCTCACCCAAGCTCTGCCCGCACTGCAGCCGTCCCTGGCATCGCTCACAATATGCTGCAGGTCCCAGTTGAGGCACCTCGACACCCCAGGATGCTGCTTTCCCACCTCAAAACCCCACCTGAAGGGCATGGCAGGATAAAGCCAGCCCCACCCAGCTTTCCAAAAGTCAAATCATCCTGGCTCATGATGCTGGAAGCTTTGGAGCACGACTGCATCGCAGCGACAGAGCCTGCGGCACAAGCAATCCGAGCCTGGGGGCTTTTGGAGCTGCTTTAGGGCCCTGTATGGGGATGTGGGGCTGCTGCAAAGGGACCAGCCAACCTCTGCTCCTGGCCGCCTTCCCCTCACCTCATCACTCACTCCAAGGCTGCTTTATGCCCACGGAGAGCTGCTGACCGCCCAGCCTGCGCCGGAGACACCGGCAGCGGCCGGGGCACGTGTCACCCCCAGGACAGACAAGGACAGACCAGCACTGGCACAGACGCAAAGGCTTCAGTCGCACACGTGTGCGTGTGACGTGGGAATCTGTGACGCTGATGCCACCGAGTGACACCACAAGCTGTGGCACAATGCAGCTCACTCTGCACAGCCACAGCCTCCAGGGACCACATGGTGACAGGCGACAGCAACCCGCTACGGGCAGAGGAGGAGACTCACCTCATCAGCAGCCTCCAGCTTGGAGTCGAACTGGCAGAAGATCTGCTCCAGCTCTTTCCTGATCACGTTGGCGAGAACATTCAGGCGTCCCCTGCAAAAAGCAAGACCGTTGCTGGTAACCAGCAGCGCCAGTCTGGCATCGAGTGCCACCGGCGACCTGCCGTTCCACCCCGTCACGCAGAGGCAGCGCGACAACCCCACACCTCCTGCGATGGCTGCGGGGTCACCCGGGGAGGGGGGTCCCGAGGAGGAGACTGTGGACCCCTCAGCACAGGGATGGACCCGCTGCTGCCACATCCTGACGGTGGCCCCAGAGCAGACAGGATGAAAACTGCTCTGGGGGTCCAGCTCTGCCACTCGAGCCACCACCCCTCTCCAGGTGAATTTACAAACAAGCTGAAGCTGAAAACACCATGATGGGAGAAGAGCAGCCAAGGCTGGAGCTCTCCAGCTAAGGTTCACCACCAGCCAAGACCAGTTAGGTGATGGCAGAAACCAGTGTGCCCTTCTGTACTGAACCCTGGCAGCATCGCCCTCCTCCGCGCCCCAAGCACCGCCGCGGAGAGAGGCAGGGTTACCTGTGGGGCATCCCCATGATAACATAATCCACTCCCTTCTCACTCGACTTATCAATAATGGTCTTTAAGGCTGGGATCAGCACTTCACAGCCCTCCAGACCAAAGCGCTTCTCCGAAGACCATTTCCGATGGAGGAACTCCTCAAACCTGGAAGGCAAAGGGCGAGAGGGATCAGTGCCAGGGCTACAGCTGGGGGCAGAAACCAGAGGAAGGACGGGGACCGCACCGGGGGAGCCACAGCACCAAGCGATGCTTAAACAGGCATCACACAGCAGCCCACCAGCCTTCCCGGTCATGCCCGTCCGCTCCCGCAGAGCCCAGCTGGCCGCTCCCCCACCCTGACACTGTGCTCCACTTAAGCCTTATTTTTAGACCTTTTCTTTCAGGATCATCCACGTTTTTGGGCTCTTAGCCAACACCTGAGCCTGCCAGCCTGGCAGCTCACTGGCGTCACTCTGCTGATTAAGCTGACCGTGACAGATGATGTCAAGATATGACTCAGGTGGTGACCGCGTCACTCTGGCTGGAAGCAAACCCACCCCCCCAGCAGCAAGAGAAGATCTGGAGAAGGTGAAGACCCCTCCCGAGGTACCTGGTAGAGCGGACCAGCCTGGCCAGCAGCGTGCGTTTCTCTTCGTTGGTGAACTGCATGATGCCGGGGGTCTCAAACTTCTGCCGGATCCACTGGCACTGCTCCAGGTCGTTGATAAACATGAACTCCACGCCGATGTGCTGGCAGTACGCCATCTGCCCCGACGGGAGAAGAAAGGCTGTGAGACAACAGCCAGAGCTTTAGCACCTCCTCACCCCCCCGCAAAGACGGGCACGTGCGGCATCGTATGGGACCCCAGGGCCAGGGACTCTTTCATTCCGCTCTTTAACCTTTCGGTGAGACAAAGAGCCCTCCCGCACCGGCGGAGACACAAACCCTCCTGCCTGGCAGCCGTGCTGCGCTGCCTGACCACCGGCAAGCGCTACGTGCGATGGCAGTCTGGGGGGGACCCGTGAGCAGTGCCCGGCAGCCAGCACCACGCCAGCCCCGTTTTGGGAGCCTGGTTTGAGCTGTCTTCCCAGGAAAGGGGACACTGCAGGGGACGTGCTGGGATGCTGCGGGGCAGTTCTGCCCCTGCACAGGACCCAGCATCAAAATGTTTAATTCCCTGTCCCTGAGAGGCCCGGGATCAGACCCTGGAGTCCTTTACATCCGGAGCCAAGATTTTCCTTCTCAGTGGCATCAGCTGTGACCACGGCCACAACTCCCATTCATATGGTGGGCAGAGCATTAGCAAAACCACCTCCCCCAACAAATAAGGAGCCTGTTCTTGCAGCTTATCTAAGATGTTGACGCAGTTTTGCTTCTCCCAAGGTCAACCTGTCTCAGCAGAGATCGTCTGAGCAAGCCGGCAGCTTGCCTAGGCGACGTCCGTGCTCTCAGACCAGGCAGAGCAGGGTATGAAATTTGGCAGGAAAGGGGAACCGGCTGCAAGAGCTGGAAGCCCACGCTCATGTTGGAGCTGCTCCTGCACCAAGACCCTCCCAGGGGCCACCACACGGGGCCGCAGCACTACTGCAGCACACAAGGGGGGTATCACCTGCCCCCAGCTCAGTCCTCTGCTCTCCCAGCACTGCTTTAAACTGGAAAACACAGCTGGGGAGGTTTCCAAAACAGCAGTATTTAGTTGCCTGGTGTTTGCTCCACCTTGGGAAGACCAGATGTGTTGCCCCAACGCAGCACAAAGCTGGAGGTGATCAGAGATAAGCGAGTAACATGGGGCAGCTGCTACGAGTGGGGCAAGCGCCGAAGGAGCAGCTCCCAAGGCTGTGGGCAGCAGCAGGGCCCAAGACCTTCACAAAACCAACTGCTCTGCCCCCACTGCGGGCTGCAAACAGATCTCACACAGCCCTCCCTGCCCCCCCTCACCTCCAGCCGACGGATGATTTCCCGGAGCGGAAGAGCCGATTCATTTCCACCGATGAAAGTGGTTGTGGGCAAGTGGAAGACCTTGTCGAGGTCAGATTCATCCAGCCCGTAAAAGCCTGCAGGATTTTTCATGGGTGGGACAAGCGAAAGCAAGAGAGAGAAAGAAGGAAGGGGGACGGGGGAGGGACACACCGTCACGCAAGGACCGGGTGCATTTGGGAGAGGTGCAGAAGGGACAAAAAAAAGCAGCATAAAACCAAAATTAAGCATGAAGGAGGTTTATATGGATAAAAACCAAGCCGTAATTAAACAAAAAGACATTAAGCACAGAACAACACCGTTATTATGAAAGGTAACACAGGAAACGAAACACAAAGCAATATATATACGCATGTAAATTGGCAATTAAAATCCCAGGTGAGAATCAGGAAGTTTGTAGCCCCAAGAACGCATAAAATACACCACAAATTATAACAGAAGGGAGAGAAAAGAAACAGAGGAATTGAGGAGTCACCGAACACAACGGAGGTGTCACCACACAGTGGGAATTAAAAATGAAGAGTCAACGCAGAGAAGGAAACGGTTAAAACAGACAAACCCCAAAAAGGGAAAGAAAAAGCAGCAAGAGAGAGAAAACGGCATCAGGGCTCTGCGATGGACTCTCGTGAATAGCTCAGCCCGGGAGCAAGGCAGCCAGCCGGCCCCTCGGGGGGGGGGTTTGCTGCCCAGATACCCCCTTGCCCCAGTTAACAGCCTTTTAATGACGGGTTTAGCCTAGCTCTGCTCAGCAAACCTCCTCCTTTTTGGTGCTGGCACCTCATGGCTCGTAGGCGGCTCACACGGGGCTGCGCAGAGCTGGGCTGCGCCTGGAGAAGGTGCTGAGCAGGGCCTGGAGCTGGAAGTCGGATTTTAGAG